GTATACCCCAGGTATGAAACCTTCTGCCCTCCCAAACTGGCACTTCTTTGGGTTGGCTGTTAGCCCAGCCCGTTTCAGGGCTTCTAGTACAGCGGCTATATGTTCCAAATGCTTTTCCCAGGACTCGCTAAATATTATGATATCGTCGATATATGCTGCCGTGTAGTCCTGATGGTCCCTTAAGATTCGGTTCATGAGCCTTTGAAATGTGGCTGCGGCTCCATGTAGTCCAAATGGCATATTCCTGAACTGATACAGCCCGAAGGGGGTGGCGAAAGCTGTTTTTGCCTGAGCTTCTAATGATAGCAGGATTTGCCAGTACCCCTTGGTTAAGTCGAGGGTTGACAGGTAAGTGGCTCTTCCAAGGAGACCCAACAACTCATCTATGCGCGGCATGGGGTAGGCATCAAAACGAGAGATAGCGTTCACTTTGCGAAAGTCTATGCAGAACCTCATCGACCCGTCCGATTTGGGCACTAGGACAATGGGGCTCCGCCATTCGCTATGGGATTCTTGTATTACTCCCCACTCCAGCATAGACTGGAGTTCCTCTTTCACCGTACTCCATAGCTTCCGGGGGATGGGGCGCATATTATCCTTTACCACTTTACCTGGCTCCGTTTTTATCTCATGTTGTATTAGGGTGGTCTGCCCGGGCCGACTTGTCAATACCGGCCTGAATCGGTCGAGGAGGTGGTACAGCTGTTCTTGTTTCAGGTGCGGGAGCTATTCTCCGATCTGTATCCCTTCGACCCTCACCTCCGGGCTCCCCCCATGGACCCAATTTGATGTCTATTGCCCGAGGGTCAATCAAGAGGGCTTCCCGTGTGTTCCATTTCTTTAGTAGGTTCATGTGGTAAATTTGGGTTTCCCGTCGGTTCCCATTTACCCGCACCTCATAGTCAACAGGGCCCACTTTCCTTATTACCCGAAAGGGTCCTTGCCAGTGGGCCAATAGCTTAGATTCCCCGCTAGGGAGTAATAGTAGGACCTGCTCGCCCGGTTCAAACTCCCTCACCTGCGCTTTTTTATCGTAGTACGTCTTTTGCCCTTCTTGTGCCTTTTCTAGGTTCCCTCGGGCCCATCTTGCCAATTCTTGTAGGGTTTTCTTCGACGGCCGCTTCCCACCCTTCTCTTACGAGGTCCAAAATCCCTCATGGTCGCCGCCCATATAATAATTCAAAGGGGGAATATCCTACTGACTCCTGTGGTACCTCTCTTACGGCGAACATCAAAGCCGGGAGCAGCTTATCCCATTCGCGTGGGTTGTCCTGGGCAAACTTTCGTAGCATCCCCTTCAGCGTGTGGTTGAAGCGCTCCACTAGGCCGTCCGTTTGGGGGTGATATACTGATGTCCGAAGCTTTTTAATCTGCAACACCCGACATAATTCTGTCATAACCTTAGAGGTTAGGTTCGTCCCTTGGTCCGTTAACAATTCTTTGGGAAGCCCGACCCACGAGAACAGTTTTACCAATGCCTCGGCTATTACAGGCGTCGTGGCCTTCTTCAAGGGAACCGCCTCCGGGCAACGAGTGGCATAGTCCACGATGACCAAAATGTAGCTATGCCCGCGCCCCTACTTGTCGAGGGGCCCCACCAGGTCCAGTGCTACCCGTTCAAAGGGGGTCCCAACCACGGGGCGAGGGACCAATGGGGCCGGTGGCACCCGATTCACGGACGTCTTCTGGCACTGCGGGCAGGAACTGCAGAAATTTTTAATTTCCTGATACACCCCGGGCCAGTAGAATCTTTGTAACACCTTCTGTTGGGTCTTTTCCATTCCCAAGTGCCCGGCCCATGGGTGCTCATAGGCTAATTCAAGAATCTTCCACCGGTAAGGCCAAGGGACTAGCAGTTGCCATCTTTCCTCCCCAGGAAGCTCCCCCTGGGATACCCGGTACAAGCAGTCGTCCCTTACCTCGAACGGGGGCCTGTCGGGCCGGTCTGGCGGGTTTTCTCCCTGTGGCTCGCTGGCTGTGTGGATCTGGTCCCAGGCTGCCCATAGGGTGGGGTCCTCCCGTTGCTGTGAGAGAAAATCTCCTTCCTCTACCTCCAGGAGGGCAAAAGCCGGCGGCTCCGCTGATGGGGGTTTTGTGGGCGGGGCTCCCCCCGTCCTCCTCTCCTTGGGCCACCAGTGTCCCTTGTTCGGATTTCCCCCTCCGGCCTAGTGGTACTGGCCCCTCCACACTGACCTAAAAGTCTCTCTAGGCCGTGCCAATCCCGTCCCAACAGAAGTGGGTATGCTAGTTTAGGGCCTACTGCCACCACGCATTCGCTTTCCAGCTCCCTGTCCCTTATTCGCACCTGTGTCGTGGGGTAGTAATGTACGTCCCCATGGACACACCGCAGAGCTACGGGGGCGCCCCTTGCCCGCACCGGATATATCACATCTTTTCGGATAATAGTCTGCCCGCACCCCGAGTCTAATATGGCTTCTACTGGGTTCCCGTTGACCCATAGTTCCTTTACTACCTGCGCCGGGCTCGCCGCCCTTCTGTCCGTACCGCCTGATCGCCTCTGTCCAAAGGTGCAGTCCATCAGGGTACAGTCCCTTTTGTAGTGTCCCTCCTGGCCGCACTGGTAACAAACCACCTTCGGGGCTCCTTCTGGTGGGAGGGTGCCCGGTCCAGTCTCGGTCGCCCGATCTACCCTGGCTTTGCCTATCGGCCGGCTCCACCGGGGTGCCAACCTCCTCTCTGGGAGGGGTCCTAAAGGGGTTCTCCGCACCTCCCTGCCGTGAGGGAGTCCCGTGGGCTTCGGCGTAGCTGTTTCGCCCTTCCTGGGGTCCCGCTGGGGGCCAGTAGTTCCCTTCCTTTCTGCCCCCTCGGCGGCTAAGTAATGTTCCATAAGGGTCACGGCCTCGTCGAGGGTCTCTGGTAGATGTCGCCATACCCATAGCTGCCCTTCCGTGGGGAGGATACGTATGTACTGCTCCAAGATGACCAGGTTGGCCACCTGGACCCCCGTCTTGTTCTCTGGTTCGAGCCATCTCGTTCCCACCTCCTTCACCTGCTGGGCCACGGCTCGCGGTTGCTCATGAAGATCGTACCGGGCTTCGCGGAATCGTCGGCGATGGGTCTCCAGGGTGACCCCCAGCTGGTCAAGAACCGCCTCTTTGACCTTAAAATAGCAGAGCGCGTCGTGGGCCGACATTCCCCGTTACGCTAACTGGGCCAGCCCCGACAAGTAGGGGGCGAGAAGGGTCGCCCAATGTTCCTGGGGCCATTTTGCTGCTTTGGCCACCCTTCAAAGGTCACGAGGAATGTCTCCGGGTCATCCTTCGGCCCCAGCTTAGTGAGCCGTATGGGTAACTGTGTCCCGGTCCCTTCGCCCCCTCCGGGGATCCCGGCCCCCCCCAGTTATCCCTGCTGGGGTGCCTCTTGCCATCTGGTCCTGTTGCTCCTGGAATTGGGTGAGGAGCTGTTGCAGTGCCTGCATCTGCTGTTGCTGCTGCACCTTTTGGGTTTCTGTCCACCACTCCAAGATCTTATTTGCCTCCATCTTCTCCTATCAACCAACACCCCGTTAACTTCCCTTTCTTGTGTCCAGACCCCCGTCTCGGGGCCTACAGTACCCACATTCTCCACCACGTGTGAGGGTTCCGCCTCGCAGGGACGCTTATGTCCGCTCCCCCTCTCTCGGCTGCGCCCCCTTGCCCCGGTTGGGGCCACCTCCCCTCTTGCCACGCCTAAGCTGCCAGCCCCTGGCACTTAGGCACTCTTGCCCTCTGCCTGCTGGGGAAGGCGGTCCGGGCCCGCCCTCGCTCCGAACCCCTGGCCCAGGGCCCTAAGGTCAGGACGAAAATCCTCACCTAACGGGGGGGGTCGAGAACCCTAAACTCCCCCGCTCTCGGGGTCCACGCCCCCGCCCTGGGCCACTTCTTCCCCAGCAGTGCAGTGCCACCAGTCTAGGGCCCCCGGGTTAAGACTCACCCAAGGTCTCCAGTAGTTGGGTCCGTGAGGTCCTGGCTGTGATGCTCCCACTCTTCGGGGATCGTCCCCTCCTCTGGCATGGAGTTCCATTTTAAATTTCCCGCCGGACGCGGGGGGATGACGCTTCCCCCAGCGTCATCACCCGGCGACGCCCCCGAGTGTCACGCTGGTGACGTCACGGCCGACGCCATCCCAGCCGGCCTCTCCCCCCCGCCGGTCTGCGCC